TGTGTGTGTGTGTGTGTGTGTGTGTGTGTGTGTGTGTGTGTGTGTGTACACCTAGGGGTTAGGGAACAGCTGCCTCTCGCCTTCCACTGTGTTTTTAGGCAAGGTCTTGTTTCTACCATTTTGCTTGGTATTCCAGGCTATTACTTCTACCCTTCATCTCACCACAGAAAGGTGGGGTGCACTTCTGCTTTTTGGGTGGGTTTGAATAATCCGAACTCAGGTCATTGGGCTTGCACTGCAAGCACTTTACCCATATGCCATCACTACAGCTCCAGAAGTCTTTTTTGAAGAAATACTGCCCTTTGTTCCCTTGCCTTCCCTTTGCTATTTCCCCATCATATTTCCTATCAGAAACTAATAAAAGGAGAGCCAATTTTCCTTCTTAGTATTTGGTTTCTTTTGTAGAATGTTTTTAAAGACAGGAAAACATTTTTGTTTTGAAGTCAAATTACTATTTTGGAGTATATGTGAAGTGTTTTTTGCTCTGCTGTTCTGCCTTGCTCTCTGTTAGCTGTGGTAAACGCCACAATCGAAAGCAACTTGTGGAGGAAGAAGTTTAACTTTACAGGTTATAGGCCATCATTCAGGGAAGTCAGAGAAGTAACACAAAGCAGGAGCCTGGAGTTGGGAACTGATGCAGAGATCAGGAAGGAGTGATGTTTACTGGCTTGTTTCCTCTGCCTTGTTCAGCTGCTTTTCTTATACAGCGCACACTTACCTGCCCAAAGATGGCACTGCCCACAATAGGCTAGACCCTCCACTGTCAGTCATCAATCAAGAACATCCCCACAGGCCAGTCAAATGGAGGCAGTTCCTCAAGTGAGAGTCTCTCCTACCAGTTGTGTTTTGGTTTGTATTAGGTTGGCAAAAGATAACTATGATATGTGCTTATCTACTTTTCAGTTGTTGAACAAGATGAGTTACCAAGGTCAGCTGACGTGAGACTGTGTAGTGAGATGAACTATCAGGTTATCCAGGCTCCATGTTCTTAACAACCTTTTGCATCCTGGTAGACCACATTACATTGTGTCCTCCGGTTCCCTCACTGCCCAGCCCATTCTCTGTTTCATTTTTAACATGAATAAAAATCATTACTGGCTTGGTTGATTGGCAAACAATATGATATTTTTCTGGTACTCTTAAAAGCAAAAAGTATATTTTTATATTTCAGACATTTTAACTTGCCCTGGACTGGTAATCACTTAAGCCTGTTCCTGATCTTGGGCTTGTCTGTTCAGCACTATTAGAAGGGAAAGGCTTGGTTCTCTAGAAGCTAACCCCAGACATTCTGGTCCTTTTAGACTAAAGCCCTGGAAACTGTCATGATCTGAGTATCCTTGGGACTGCTGTTTTAGGAATTTCTGAGAGATGTATGGCTCTAGGAATATCACGGGCCCTTTACTTTGCATATGTTTTGGGGGTGTGAGCGAGAAGGTGAGGCCCTGAGGATGAAGACAGTAATTCAGAAGTGCTACTTAGGTATATTATTCCACAAAATCGTCATTATTTCGGGTAGGTTTGAGCAGGGGCTTTGCTCTGGAGTGCCTTTTCTTTGCATTTTTAAGAAGGATATGAAGGATAAGATGGAAAAGTGTGACCAGTTGTGGTCTTCTAAGACAGTGTCAGTCATTCTATGGTGGTGAAGGAGGTGTCGAGGAGTAAGAATCTTAAGTGACAATTTTTAAAATTTTAAATGTTTAATATTTAATGTCTTTAGTGAGCACTAATATATCTTCTGATACTAATCTGTGGTTGCTTTTTTTAAATTTTTTTTATTAATTACACTTTACTCACTTTGTGGTTGCTTTTTATAGTGGTGTTAGTTTTTTTATTTCAGTAAAAATTGCACAAAGCCATTTCTCCTTAAAATAAAATTTTAACCAAATTATTGGGAATTATATCGCCTAGGTTTTCTTATCCCCTAAGAATTTATGTCAGGGGCCTAGTGAGGTGGCATGAGTAGGCTGAGGCGTTTTCTGCCAAGCCTCACAGCTTGAGTTTCATCCCTGGGAGGATGTACATAGTGGGAAGAAATCTGATTCCCACAAGTTGTCCTCTGACCCACATGTACAGTGTGATAGATGTGGCCCACTTCCAAATAGACAAACAAATAAATAAATAGAGCTTAAAATAAAAATAATTTGGGGTTCTTTATAAATGTAGTAAGTGAATATGATGATACACTTCTAATGCCAACACTTGGGTGGTGGACTCAGAAGCAGAAGTTCAGAACAACCCTTAAGTATACAGTTGAGTTCAACGCCAGTCTGTGGTGATCCTGTGTCACAAACAAAACAAAATAAAAATATTAAGAAATATTGGAAAACATGTTCATCTTCTCTTAACTGTGACACATTAACAACTATGTTAAGTAGCTGGGCTGTATGATACCCCGTAACAAAAACAAACAACAAACCACCGGTGCTTGGGAGAAATGGGTAAGGCAGGCAAGCATAGGTAGTATCCTAGCAACCTGGGACATCACTTAGCCTGGGCTATGCACACATTCCTCCAGGTTAAGG